GACGTGTGCTCTTCCGATCTCCCCAAAACCCCAAAACCCCAAAACCCCAAAGACGGAATCAATGATACATATTAAAATAGTGAATATATAAATTGTTTAATGGAAGAGCAATAAAAAATAAAAATTCTTGTCACAGGGGGAACTGGTCTTGTAGGCTCAAATTTAAGGGAGCTAGTCGAGTATTATTAGTCATCTTAGGTTGACATAGCAGTTGAAGATGCTACCAATAAACTAGAATAGGAATAGGATAATTAATCACTAGATAACTTCATTAGGGCTAATGTTCAAAATCATGAATTCATATACCTCAGTTCTAAGGACTGCAACTTGCTTGATGGTGAGCATGTAAAAGAACTATTCAGGAAGCACAGACCTACATATGTAATTAATTTGGCAGCTAGAGTTGGCGGATTATTTGCAAACATGAATAACAAAGTCCAATTTTATGAGGAAAATATACAGATGCAGATGAATATAATCAAAGCATGTCATGAGTTTGGAATCAAAAGATTAATATGCACCTTAAGTACATGCATATATCCTGATAAAATAGAGTATCCAATAGCAGAGGAAGATCTTCATAAAGGTCCCCCTCATCCATCAAATGAAGGTTATGCATACGCAAAAAGACAATGTTAAATACAATGTCAAATATACAATGAATAATTTGGAACTGATTTTCTTTGCGTGGTTCCAACTAATATATATGGAAAATATGACTAATATAACGAGTCTTCTAGTCATGTCGTTCCTGCTTTAATCAGAAAAGCAGCGAAGGCTAAAGAAGCAAATTCTGAATTTTTAGTGCTTGGATCAGGTTCACCTTTAAGACAGTTCTGTTATGCTCCTGATTTAGGGAAATTATTGCTCTGGGTACTTTACAGGAAAGAAAGTCTTCCCCTTATATCTTTAGTTCCGGAAGAAGAATACACGATTAAAGAGTTAGCAGAAAATATTGCTTAGATATCAGGAATTGAAAATATTGTATTCGATACTACTAAAGCAGACGGATAGTACAAGAAAACAATGAGCAATAAACTGCTATAGTCAAAGCTTAAGTACTTTAAGTTCACTGACTTAAAAGAGGGACTAAAAATGACAATAGAAAATTTTAAAAATGAGACTAGGTTATGATAAATTAAAAGTTTGAAAATAAAAATCATATTTTTTTTAATTCAGCATTTGTTTGATTTTGCATAATGGGGTTTTGGGGTTTTGGGGAGATCGGAAGAGCAC